ATACTAAGAAATAACAAAAAACAAAAGTTGAGTTTCAGAAGAAATACAGGTCTAGAAATAAATTTCAGAGGGGTTTATAATGTAAGTTCAGATCTTCTAAATATTACTGAATCAATAACAAATTTGTACTTTAAACATCAGTATGAAAAGTTTCTAAATATGTACTAACAACAGTGCTGATTCAAATTTTTTGGTGTAGATTAATATAAAGTTAGAAGTATTTTCCTTTTGAAAATAATGCTAACTTCATAGCATTATTCTGAGAATTAAATTAAATAAGGATTATGTGAGTCACCTGTCCACAGCACAACACAAATATATTACTAAATGTTAAGCTTATTTTCTCTACTTCTAAAGCTATTTATATTGGAACCTAAATGATTTCCTTAATCCAAATGATAAATTACTAAAACAAAAAAATTCTGGACATTAGTGATACTACTATATTATATATACTCAGATAAAAAAATGATACTGTAAATATTGCAATAATTTTTATCACTCTATATAATTAACCATTGATTAAATAGAGAAATCTTTTTTGGGAGGAGGTGGCCCAAATAATGTATATACATGTAAGTAAATGCAAAAATGATAAAAATACAAAAGAAGAGGAAAAAATAAATCTTTTTAATTTTCTGGACTGAGGAAAAATCTGCATATGTTTCTAAAACATAGTTTCTGATATCTACTAATATTTTACATATTTACAAGGAAAGAGAAAAATCAGGACACAGTATATTTGATAATTTAAATACACTATTATTATGAACATACCAGGATGTATTAATCAAATAAAACCAAAAGATTTCACTGGTATGGAATGTTTTTATATTTTTTCACTTCAAAAAATTAATCAAAAGTCTATAAAAATAAACTTTAAATGGAAAAGGAGAACAAATAGGAGGATTCTAAAATAATACAGCAATTTTACCATTCTGAGAGAGAGCTAAGACAACAAGTATTAGATTGATGAAATTTTTAAAAACCAGTGTGTGATAATACTGTAACAAATGACATTGTTGAAAATTTACCTTGGGTAATATTCTAAAAATGGTAGCTAGATATATTCTACTTTGCTCCAAATTTTCTTCAACTTTATAGTATTATTTGAGACCATTTTAGTATCTGGAATAAATGATATAATAGCATTTTAGATTACATCATTTAAACCCCAAATGAGGAACTAGAATACCTGAACTAGACCCAGCAAAAACCCCAGTCTGCAAATTAAATATTAGAAAGAAAGAGCTAACATTGTGAAAAATTTACCTTGCCCAGAGCGGCTTTGGCGAGAATCTACACTTGACTGTCTTCGATCCGGTGGCTCCTCGCTTCCTCCATCTGCAAAAAATTAAAAACAGATAATGAAACTGACATAATGTCTTCTCTGGTGCTATTTGTACCTTGAATCTACTATATGATTTGCTTTCATTTCTTATAATCTGGATCGTTAAAGTATTTGAGGATTTTTTTTCCTATATAAACCAATGGTTCTTATTGTAGGATCATTTACACCCCATTCTAAAGGTCTAATGGAAGTACAAGTGTTCTTCCCCTCCACCATACATATACACTCTTCTTCACATATAATGAAGGAATTTTATTAATTCCAAAGTTCATTCGCAGCATTCCACATTAGAAGTCCCAACTTAAAACAATGTCTAAATAAATGACCAATAGTTTATTTGTCTAAGAATGTCAAATAATCTCTAAACTATATGTTCTACCACAATAAAATCACAATTATGTTTCATAAGATATAAAATCAATAAACCTATAAGTGATGCAAATAAGATAAAAATCAAACAATTCTGAGTTTGCACTATGAGTTTTTAAAAATTATATGGAAACAAATCCATTTCAATACATATATGTATCTTCATATTTTAAGAAAGAAGCAATAGAGTATACTTCTTCATGAAATTGAAGAAAAGCTGTAACAAATTTAAGAAAGGCTCTTACATAATTTACTCAATTTTATTATATAAAGACAAAAATTATCACAAAGTAGGCACAATAAAACAAAAATCAATACATTGAGAATGTCATTTTTTAAATCATATCTAAAATTTTAATATTATGGACAAAAAAAACCAGGTGTGGTAGTACACACCTGTAATTCTAGAACTTGGAAGGCTTAAGGCTGGGCTACCCAGAAAGTATCAGGCCAACCTTAGCTGTACAGCAACATCCTGTCTCAAGAAAAAAAACAAAACAGACTGGGTGCCAATTTATATTTTATTGTCACTTCATATTTGGAATCAATTGACTGGTGCTACACTTGCACTATACCTGCTGCTACTTAAGCCCTCTACAAAATAAAGAATATTTGATAAATATACTTGAGATATATATTCATAGATATGGATTTAATTATTGCTAAGCCTTACATATAATAAATACACTATAATCCCAGTTACTCAGGAGGTAGAAATTGGAAGGATCGCAGTTTGAGACAACTCGGAAAAAAATTAGCGAGATCCTATCTCAATCAGTAAGGCAGGCATGGTGATGTGGGATTGTGGTCCAGCTAGTGGGAAGCAGTAGGTGAGAGGCCATAGGTGAGAGAGTCTGAGACCAGCCCTAGAGAAAAATGAAAAGACCCTACCTGAAAAATAACTAAAGTGGAAGAAGGGGTAGGGGCATGGCTCAAGTGATAGAGCACCTACCTAGCAAATGTGAGGTCCTAAGTTCAAATCCCAGTACAAAAAACGCCAAAAATTATACTTAAGGAAACTAAAGCTTTAACAATGCCAATAAATTTCTTAAATTTAAGATGTATTAAAAATTCAGCAGCTTCCTTCAGTCTTTTAAACAACCACTTATCCTATTTTTAACTTAATAGGAACAAGAAATAGTAGTTTCAAGTAGGTTTAAAAAGTACATCACCACAACTGGCCTCAACTATATTTACTGTATGTAAGCTTAGCAATAATTAAATTCATATCTATGAATATGATATATGTATATATACATATATATGTCAAGTATATTTATTAAATATTCTTTATTTTGTAGAGACTTAACTAGAAGGTATAGTACAAGTATAGCTCCAAAAATATGACTATAGAAAACAGAAAATATTTATATCTGAGTCCAGTATGACTAAGCCATGTAATAATAATACACTCCACTAATTTAATTAGTCAGATTTATAAAATAATTTAGCAAACTAAAAGATAAGTGATAGGTAGTCATTTTTTTGTCATAGTGTGCAAACACTTTTAAAATACAAATCACTTTAAGCATTACTTTGGTTTTGCTGTTACTATATAACTTACTATATTTGAATAAAAATATACTTAAGACTTGTTGGCAAAATAAGATGCTATTTGAAATGCAAATGCAAGGATTTTTCCTTCAACATAATGGGAAAAAGAAATTAAAGCAAAAATGTACCTATGTATTTTCATCTCAGAATGAGTGACCTGACTCTGTTCAAAGTTCTTTTTAAAGGAAATATGTATGTTTATATTCCTCTCAATTATACTTCAAATTGCAAGTAAGCAATTCTATAAATTATATAGATTTTTTTCATTAAGGCTCAGTATTTTAACTGGACAATTCCAAACTTAATTTTAAAGTTTTTTAATCCTTTAGGAGTTCTTCCACTTCATATTATTATGTATTAAAATTGAGTATGTCCAAAAATCTTACTGTTCTCTTCTTTCCGATGTTTACCTACCTAAGAACAGAAAGAAAGGCAGCCAACAAATATTATCTACTATCTAGAGGAATTCTATATAGTTCATCAAAGACCTTTGAAGTAAAGACCTACTTCATAAATAAAGACACTGAAATTCATGGTGACTAACTGGAATCAAGTGACAAAACCAGTAAAGATGAAATTATATTATAGCCCAAGACTGTGTGAATCAACACATCTCTCTAATACTAATTTCTGTCTTAATTAACTAATGAGCTTAATTTGTTAATATGTTCCCATTTCACTTTCTTCTCATAAAACATATGTTGGAAGAGTACAAATCAGTAACTATTGCAATTCTTCTTTTATGCAATAGAGGTTTTCTAATAAAGTAGGCTATGAAGATTTAGTCTTTACAATTTAAATCCAATCTTCCAATTTGTTTCCAATATAAAATGAAAAGACGTATTGTCCTAAGAAAACTACTCTTCCCCAAAGTGCGTATGTGCATTTTGTCTCTCCCTTTCTGCCCCTTCATTCTACTAAAAATGTTACCAAGAGCTTTTCTTGGCAACTGGCCACAACCAAAATAACTAAAGTACCTCATTATGACCTTTGGAAAACATTGTTGAAGCTATAATCCTCCTTTCCCAGGTCTATATTACTGCTCATACTATAGACAGCATTATGTAAGAAAATCTATACATGAGAAAGAAAAATTAGGACTTGACATTCTGTGTTACCTGTACTTGGGTAACTAAAGCACATGCATTGCCTTTCCATGTCTCTGTGACATCTGTCACTGCAAACATAGGTATATTTGCTTTACAAAGAATTCCACAAAATTCCTGCTCTAACAAGAAAGAACAGAAGAAAAGGTAGCTCTTTCTAAATGTTCACAGTGTGAAAACATAATACATTTTATATTTTTTACTGGAAAAGTCAATGCCCATTACAATGACATACAAATTACTCTCACCACATCAACCACTTGTGATGAAAACATTTTAACTCTTATGGTCTGGTACAAGGTTAACCACAGGAAAAATGAATAAGAACTATGATTTACTTATTTAATTTTCTTTTAAGAAAATCTATAAACATGTTTACCTAGAATAATTTCCACTATAAAGATGCCATTAAGATAATGTAGTGATAATACCAGGTATAAAACCTACAATGGTGGGCTGGGATGTAGCTCAGTGGTACAGCACTTGCCTAGCATGCATGAGGCCCTGGGTTCAAGCCCAGCACCAAAAAAGAAAAGACAAAAAAAAAAAAACCTACAATGGTGATTTTTCAACCCTGGCAAAATGAATACATGTGGCTTAGTTCCAATTACTTTTGGAATATGTCGCGAGCACTTATGGTTCGTTACCAATCAAGTACAAGTAAGCAGTACTCAGGAGACCCTTACTCCAGAGATCAGGATTTTATTCAAACAAATCCACATGGCACTCTCGCATGGATCCTAATGCCTGTCCTCTGCCACCCCAGCCAGCCAGGAACTTATTCAGGCCTTCCCCAAGCCTCGCTCACCGTGCAATGTCTTCTTAGCTGATAAGGGGAGTCCAGCTGGGCTCCAGGGAATCCTTACAGCTGATCTTAATTGCAGGTCGATCTCGCAGTCTGCCTCCCAACACCTGTGGTCAGGAGAAGGGGCAGTGCTCTCAAGCGGCGGCTGCCTCTACATTAGAGCTTCGGGACGGGCTCCGACAGCATGGTCTTCAATGTTCAGGAGGCGAGCGAGGTTTGGGTTTTGGCTCTGAGTTTACATACCCGGTGGTGACCTCATAGCTTCTGCTAAAGGCACTGCCACCTTAGAATGCTGACTTATTTGCATATCAGCCTGTCATTCTCTGGCTTGGTTTCTAAGTCCTAACACATACTAGCTAATAATTCTTATTACAACAATTTTCCATACTTTAACACAATACAATCCACCAATACAACAGCAATATTGTATGTGTTCACCACAGAATAACAGTAACATTTATGGACAATAAAATTTGATTTAATATAATTTACATGTGTCACAAAATATTCTTCTCATTTTTTCATCCATTTAGAAATGTGGAAACCATTCTTAGAAGCTATTCTTAGGTTATAGGCCATATGAAAACAGGCAGCAGCCTAGACCCCTGGGAAAATTAGTTCTAAGGCTAATTGACACAATCTCTGTGAAAAGTTATGACTCTTGAGTGACTTGAAAGGAAGGGCAGTGAAGATGAAGTGAAGGGTCTGCAAATTACATCTAATCTACTCTAGGGCCACTGAAAGCTTAATGGTAGCATGGCCTCAAGAATCCTTTTCTTGGCTCTCTATAGGTGATCTTTTGGGGAATAAAATATAAGAATACCCAAAAAACCCACTCTGAAGAAATGGAACACCTTACTACTTAATTACATGTTACATCACAATCTTCTTTGTGGTCAAGGAAAGTATTTGGAAGGTGACTACAAGTGCACGATTCATTTTGGGAGATCTCCCCTCAATGAAGTTTTATGACTTTTAAAGGAATAAAAGCTGCAATCTTAAACTCATTAGCTCCATATACAATAAAGTATGTAATAACTACATATATTCATATAGAAATACATCTGAGGATATAATTCAGTTTTGATACTATCCATGTTACTCTGAATAAAGTATAGCTGAAATCGGTAATACATAAGTTACATTGTAACACCATTCCCTATTTCCAGGAAAAACTAATATACATCATTACTACAGTTTGAATTTGATACTCAAGTTTGAAACAAATAAAAATTAAATCTACTTACAAAAATTTTGGTAATTATTTTGCATAAACATTTTTAAGAGTAAATCAATATTAGCAGCCCCAGCCCATCCACAATTTCTGTAAATACAGTCTATGGCATCGTTGATTTTCTTATGCCTGTTAAACACAGCATTTCTACTGATGCAGTATTAAGACTAAAGACTAAATATAAAAATGTCTTCACCAAGATACATATTATCAAAAGTCCAAGACAAAGAGAGCAGGGTTTTGTTTGTGTTGTTTTGGGATTTTTGTTTTGTTTTGTTGTTGTTGTTGTCTTTGATACAGACTTTCACTATGTAGCTCAGGCTGGCCTGGAATTCACTATTCTTTTGCCTCAGTCTCTAAGTGCTGGGAATACAGATGTATGCTACCACACCTGGCTTAACAAAGAATTATGAAAGCAGCAAAAGAAAATCAATTTGTCACATACAAAGGATCACCCATTAAATATCAGTGGGTTTGTCAGTAAAAATCTTACAGGCCAGGGAAGATTGACATGATATATTCAACGGGCTAAAAGAAGAAAAAAATCCACCAATCAAAAATAGTTTATGTGGCAAAACAGTCCTTCAGAAATGGAGAGAGGCCAGGTGGTGGTGCACATCTGTAATCCTAGCTACTCAAGAGGCAGAGGCAGGAAGATGATAAATTCCAGGTCATCCCAGGAAAAGTTAGTGAGACCCTATCTTAAAAATAAAATACAAACAAAAGGGTTAGGGTATGACTCAAGTGGTAGAGTACTTGCTTAGCATGCCTAAGGCCCTGGGTTCAAAAAAAAGGACGGAAGGAGAAAGGGAAGGGGGGAGGGTGGGAAGGAAGAAAAGACCCTCCCAGGCAAACAAAAGCTATAGGAGTTCATTAGACCTGCCTAATAAGAAATGTTAAAGTGAGTTCTTTAGCTGAAATCAAAGTATTCTAATTAACAACATGAAACCATATGAAAACATAACATTGCAAAAGTAAGAATAAAGTCAAATTCAGAACACACAATTCTGCAATGGTGGTACATAAAGGACCTTTAATTCTAGCACAAAAGTTAAAATACAAAAGTTTAAAAAATATCTACAGTGGGTTGGAAGTGTGGCTCAAGCAGTAGAGCACCTTCCTGAGTTCAACTCCAATACCTCAAAAGAGAAAAAAAAACCATAGTTACAACACTTTATCAATGAATATATGATATATACAAAATATAAACTGTGATAGTTACAACATACAATGTAGGAGGAGCAAAATTAAAGAATAGTATTTTTATGTGGTTGAAGCTAACTTATTATTAGCTTTAAAAAGACTATTATGATGTTTCATGGTAACCAAAAAAGAAAAAAAAAACCTGCAGTAAATACACAAAACAGAAGAGAAAGAAATCAAAGCATGCCATGACAAAAAAAAATGAGAATAATAATCAAATCCAAAAGAAGCCATCAAGAGAAGAGGAATGGAGCAAAGGAAGTATAAAAGTTGGAAACAATTAATAAAATGGCAGTATTAAGTCTTTATTTGTCAATAACTATGTAAATGTATTAAATTCTCCTATCAAAAGACAAACCACAGCTGACTGGAATTAAGGGGAGAAAAGATCCAAGTCTATGCTACCTACAAAGAGAATCACTTTAGCTGTAAGGATATACCTAGGCTGAAAGTGAAGGAATAGAAAAACACTCCATGCAAATAATAACCAATGGGAAGCAGTTCTGTTATACAGTTATATCAGACTAACACTGTAGGTCAAAAACTGTCACAAAAAACAAAGAAAACCACTACATAATGAAAAGGGAGTCAATTCATAGAGAAGGCGTAATGAAAATGCCCAACATTAGAGCAAGATATATGAAGGATATATTAACTGTATTAAAGGAAGAGGCAAACTACAACACAATAATAGTAGGGTACTTCAATATCCCACTTTCAAAAATGAATAGATTATTCAGACAGAAAAATGAGTAAAAATCAAGCAAACTTGAGTAATACTATAGACCAAATGGACCTAAAAGACATAGACAAAATATTCTATCCATCCAATAGCAGTAAAATATATATTGGTTTTTTTAGATCATATACAACATTCTCCAGGACACATCATTTTACCAATTCTATTCAACATAGTACTAGAAATCCTTGCCAGAGGAATTAGGGAAGAAAAATAAATAAAAGGCACCCAAATTAGGGAAAAAAAGAAAGTAAAATTATATCTGCATATGACAGGATCTTATACATATAGAAAATCCTAAAGATTCTACCAACAAACTAAGAACTAATAAATTTGGTAAAGCTGCAGGACACAAAATCAACAAGGAAAAATTAACAGTCTTTCCATATACAAATAATGGACTACTCAAATGATCAAGAAAATAAGCCCATTTAAAATACCATCCTAAAATAAAATAAAAATACTAAAAAAAAAAACTTTAACTAAGGAGGTGAACAAACCTATAAAACATTAATAAAAGAAAATGAAGAAGACATAGATAAATGGAAAGATATTCCAATGACATTTTCTACACATAAAGAAAAAATAATCCTAAAATTCATAGAGAATCACAAAAGTTCACAAATAGGCAATGCAATCTTGAAGGGAGAAAAAAAAGCCATTTCAATACCTGGTTTTAAAATACACTACAAGTTTTTATTAACCAAAACATCATGAAAGTAGATATATAGAACAGTGAAATGCTGCAGGTATAAATCTATGCATTTAAGGTCAGCTTATCTTTAACAAAGGTGCCAAAAAGACACCATGAGAAAAGAGCAGTTTCTTTAATAAATAAATAAACTTAAATAAACTGAATATCCACATGCAGAAGATGAAATTAGACCTTATCTTACAACATAAACAAAGTTCAACTCAGAATGGATTAAAGACTTACAGTACTTTGAGCTATCAAGCTACTAGATGAAAACATAGTGGAAAAGCTTCTTGACATTGGTCTGACCAATGATTTTTTTGGACATCACAGGCAACAAAAGCAAAAAACAAAACAACAACAAAATTTTTAAAAAATGGAACATGGGATTGCTTCAAACTAAAACAAAAATAAAGGAAACAATCAACCAAGCAAAGAGCCAGCTACAGAATAGGAGAAAGTATTTGCAACTCAAACATCTGATTAAGGGCTAATATACAAAATATGTAAGAAACTGAAACAAGTCAATAGCAAGGAAACAAACAATTGGTAGACAACCCTAATAGACATTACTTTAAAAAAAGACAAACAAAAAGCCAACAGGTAGGTATATGAAAAAATACCCAACATAACTGATCATCAGGGAAATGCATATTAAAACTACAATGAAATATCCCCTCATACATGTTAGATTGGCTATAATCAATAAGAAAAAAGCAAGTGCTGGCAAGATATAGACAAAAGAGAACTCTTACGCAATGTTGTTAGGAATGTAAATTAGCATTCTGGAAAACAATATGGAAGTTCCTTAAAAATTAAAAGTAGAACTTCCATATGATCCAACAATCCTACCTTTGGACATACCAAAGGGAACAAAATCAGTATGTCAAGGGATATATGTATTTTCATGTTCACTGAAGCATTATTTATGTATTTTCATGTTCACTGAAGCATTATTTACAATAACTAAGATATGCAATCAAACTAAGTGTCTATTGATGGATGAATGAATAAAGAAAAGAGGAATAGGTACATACAATGTAATACTATTTATCCTTTACAAAGAAGGAAATCCTGACATCTGCAACAAGCATGGACAAACCAGGAGAACACTGTGCTAACAAAACTAAGTCAGGCACCGAAAGACAAATTCTACATGATTTCACTTACATGTGAAAGCTAAAAATGTTGAACTAATTGAAATAGTAGAATGGTGGTTGCCAGGGGCTGGGGCAAATAGGGAGGTATTTCTTAAAGGGTATGAAGTTTCAATAAGATAGGGGGACTATGATATATATTCTATACAGTTTTGTTTTCATTCATGGTTCCTGATTCATAACTCCC